AGTTCGTGAGCCGCCGCAACGTGTACGAACAAGATCCCATAACATTATATATCATTTGCCGGGACCGATTGGCGAAGGCAGATCTTGTTCATCTATGTTAGAAGCCTGGAATCTTGTTTTTCCGGAAACGTGTTTACTAAAGATAGTCCAGTATACTAACATTTATATAGAAGAGCTAAAGTCTAAATTCTCAAGAGAACGCGATTGTAAAAGTACAGATATCGTTGAACTTAGAGCTCTTTTTGGATTACTTTATTTCTGCGGAAGATTGCGAAGTGGTCATCTGAACACAAAAGATCTCTGGGAAAAAGATGGAAGTGGTTCCGACGTCTGTATAGCCACAATGTCACGAGAAAGGTTCCATTTCTTACTGCGGAGTTTACGGTTTGACAATATTCGTAGACGAGGTGAAAGAAGGCAAACAGATAAGCTAGCACCCATTCGCGAGATTTTCGAAGAGTTCAATAATAATATAAAAAAATATTATGCTGTCGGCGAAAATGTAACAATTGATGAAAAGTTGGAGAAGACTCGCGGCCGTTGTCCATTTCGGCAATACATACCCAGCAAACCCGGTAAATACGGTATAAAGATATTTGTGTTGGCTGACGCACGAACCTTCTATACAAATAATATGGAAATTTATGTTGGCAAAAATGATGGGCCTTATGATCACAGTAATTCACCAAGTGAAGTCGTCAAACGCTTAGTAGAACCTATAAAGAATAGTCATCGTAACATAGTGATGGACAATTGGTTCACTAGTTTTCCGCTATTACGTGATTTGCTCAATGATTATGGTTTGACAGCATTGGGTACTTTGAGAAAGAATAAAGCTGAAATTCCACTTGTATTTACCTCAACCAAAGACCGGGAAGTACACAGTTCCCTTTTTGGATTTCAAGATAATTGTACTGTTGTGTCTTATGTTCCAAAGAAAAATAAAGTCGTGCTCTTGGCGTCAACTATGCACCATGATGGCAAAAAAGATTCTGGAGAAGAAAAAAAGCCCGAGATGATCATGGACTATAATAGAACAAAATGTGGCGTCGATGTTGTGGATGAGATGTGTGCTACCTACTCAGTAGCACGAGCTACCAAAAGATGGCCATTGGTTTTGTTTTATGGTCTTTTGAACGTCGGCGGCATCAATGCGTACGTGATAGTGAAGGCAAATAAAGTAAATAGTGGAGCTGTGATGGCTCAGAGAAGGATCGCTTTGAAAGAACTGGCTTTGGCCCTTGTGATGCCACAGATAAAAAAGAGGTCAACAGTAGCTAATTTGCCAAAAATTATCAAAACAAAAATTGATTGTATGCTCAATGCTGACTCGAATGACGAAGCCACGCACACAAGCACACCCTCAGCTTTGCGACCGTCCACATCTGCTTCCCGTTGTGCAGTATGTGAATGGAAGAAGGACCGAAAAACTAAGACGTCTTGTAAATTGTGTTCCAAAAGAATATGCCGTGAGCATACGACCCCAATTTGTGGCGATTGTTATGTCAAAGCAAAATAGATTAGGTACAAGTTTTTTGAAACATAATGTTTGACGATTATTTTCTCGATGTTCATTTAATATAAACAGTATTTTATTTTTTGTTGTTTTGGTAGTGTATAAGGTCGTTTTATAATTTTTGATCTCAATTTTACGTGATACCTAAGAAAAAAATTGTTTTGTTGATTTTTCTAAGACTATGAAGAATTTTTGTTAGAATTTGTATTTTTTTTAGGATAAGCTATAATTTGAAATAAATAATAATTCAAACTTTTAATTTTCTTTTATTTATTAGACATTAGTATTAATAAACTAAATACACCATTAAAGTTTGTAATGCAAACTTATTTTTCCAAGATAATGTCATTTAAATTATGTGGTATTTTTTACCCGGTAGCGAGTATTCGTGCATGTAAACACCTAGCGAGTACCGCCGGGTTAAAGAAGGGGAACGAGAATTGGATATAATAGGATATAATAAATTAAAAATTGGATATAATAGGAACTTAAATTACTAAGCACACCGTCATCACTATCTTTACCATATGCACCTACTTCAATAATTATAAACTTGTTTTTTGAATAAGTGACACTTAATAGTACTATAGAATTGTACATTTCATAATTACAGTACATGCTACCACACTTCTGCGGCTTTTTGACACGAATGTGTTTACCGTCCAAATTGCCACAAAAATATGGGAATTTATTTTTAATTGAAAAAGATTATGCTATAGCTTTAAATTCTTCTGTGCTGAGAAATTTCATGTGTTTGTAATAAAAAATTCCAAACAGCAGTACAAACTTCTAATACAATGCTTGCTATGGCTGTTTTATGTTCCCGCGCATCGAGGGGAGAGGGAGCGGTAGGCAGCTTCCTAGCGTGTGACGCTCGTGGGCGAGAGAGAGTAGCTCGCTGGACGCGATGCGGGGAACCCGCGTATCTCGATTATCGCGGCCGACGTTCACGCGACCGTGTAGGGTCCTGATAGTTAGATTTAGGGCGTGTTACTTCTCTACGTGGATATGTGAATTTTGCAATATTTAACTAGTTCGGGTGATGCGGAATTGTGCACGCGCGCGTCGAGTAGATATACGGTCTAGGATTCGAACCGCGCATTCCTTGGTCGAGAGCGTCTCCCGGTTCATTGTTTGGAAATCATTATAATTGTGCCGTCGCGTTAAGTGCCTTTTTTGTGTGTTGGTTGGTTTGTTAGTTTACGTGTCAACGAGGCGTATTTTGAATTCTTTTTGCGACGTGGTGCTTTGGTGTCGAATGAAGGAACTTAGTTGTGTTTAACGCTGAACCGTATGACTCATTAAGAGATCGCGTTAGTTCCCTATTTATAATTTTGTGATAAGTGAATCCGGGACATTGAATGTCGAATTTTGAACTACTGTCCTTACTGTGTCGGGTATCACGTGTTCGATTCTACGATGAATGTGGAATTAGGCGAGTTTAAGTTAGTTAAATGTACTTCCTAGTACATTTAACTTACTTAAACTCGCCTAATTGACTGAATATAATAGACTGAAATAGTGACAATGAAGAAAGAAATGGTCCAGCGGTGGAGCATGCTGGAGCGATGCAGCATTGTGGGGCAGCCTGCTGAAATAGTGACAATGAAGAAAGAAATGGTCCAGCGGTGGAGCCTGCTGGAGCGATGCAGCATTGTGGGGCAGCCTGGAACTCGGCCGCTGCTGGTCGCTTAAGCTGGTCCAGGTCGCAGACATTTACACATCACTAAACACTACTTGCCAGGCACCTCACACCCACTTACGGCCTGACCGAGCCTTGGGGCGATCTAAGAGTCGCAAACATGTACGTACTATATTTCCCTAGCCTTCTCCCATATAGCTTAGTATTTTAGGAAATTCTTCCACGTGGTTCCAAAAACAAAAAAAAGCATCGCTAATAAGGCGTCATGCAAGTGGTACTGGTGGTGGGCCGAGTATTCGCCAAACCCTCACGACTTTTGAGGAGAGGGTGTTGGCCATTATGGGGAATTTGACTGTGGATAGTCTGGCAAGCATTCAGGAACAAGGTGTTGTAAGTATTGCACTTCTTCATTTAAAATTCAGGGTTAACCGATCACTTGAATATTTAAAACATGTATTTAATAAAAATAAAATAACATATAATTAATTAAAATAATCAAATGGAAAATTAATCAAATGCCTAGTACCTAGTTTAATGAAATGAGTAACGTCACAAGAGGTTTTTTATATGATATGTTATGGTTAAACATTAGTTAAATTAAGATTTCAGGTCATTTTTTTGCAGGGACTATCACAATTCATCTCCTCACGAACTCTGGCCCTGAGTCCACCTTCAGCCACGCACCAACAAGATGCAATTGATTGTGAAATCACAACAGCCGATCGTATGTCTAGCTACATACATTTAAATATTTTAATATTTTATAAATACTTTACGAGTATTAAGTAGGTATTTGAATTCAAGTTACTTTTGTTTACAGAATGTGTGGCAATATCACCATCCGTGCCGGCTACTCCTACTCCATTTTCTAGCTGGCAGCCACCGCACACCCTAACACAGTCAACATCGCAAGACCAATCTATCAGGAGTTCAAGAGTGCAACCTGCACCTTCTACCCTTCCGCCGACCTGTAGGCGACGATTACCACCAACTCCGAGGTCTGGTGTAACTGTTTTCCCCACACGAACGTCTCTAAGGGCGCGCCGGAGGGGTACACTCACAACATTCGATAGAGCGACGAGTGAGTTCGTTGCCATCGAACATTTACGTCTTCGGCAGGAGGAGACACGAGACAGGCAGCTGTTTGAGCTGGAAACCCTTAGGATAGAGGTTGACCACGAGTAAATCAAGTGTTACGCATGTTTGCAGACATTGCGCAAGCGTGGTTTGACCACTATCGGAGTAAGGACAACACGGAGCAATGACGATATTCCATAAATACGACAATACATCACGCCTGTATTCCACGAAGGGTTAGGCATAGGTGTACTGTACACACACATTTAGCCAATTATGTTACGAGTCAAATGTAAATAGGGGCGAGTATACACAAACTCCGACTCCAAGCTAATACGGAGAAATTCCTAATGGAAAAACCCAATAACACTGCCTAACCCGGGAGTCAAATCCGAGACCTCACGCTTAGATATCGGCTACTATTGAAATTCGTCCGTAAAAACTAGTTTAAGCTAATATTAAGCTATTATTAGCAGAGTGCTTTATGATAGTACTTTAGTTGAAACATGTAAACGCTACTTGCTTTAGTACCGTTCTACTTGACTTTCAAGTTGAATCAAAATAGAATCGCTTTTTATTTTTGTTTCAAGTGATACCCCTCCCGCGCCCGCGCAACCCCCGGTGCGTCTCTCAGCCCTAATCTGTGCACTCAGATCTTCCCTCGTTGTGTGTAAACACGTAATTTAGTAAATCACGGCACTTGTGCAATCTTTAGGAGAGTGCACAAGTGCCGTGAAACACGTGCGTGTTTTTTGATTTTTAAAGATGGCTAAATGGTCGGAAGATACAACTATCAAATTTGTGTCTGAATATGTTGTTCACGAATGTTTGTGGAACGTTAAAAACAATTTATACAAAAACAAACAGGCTAGGCATTCGGCATACACTGCCTTAAAAGAAGTTATGGGTATTCCTGGCCTCGACGTTAACGCGGTTATCACAAAAGTGAGTAATTAATGTAATTAATTAATTATGTGATTTATCAAATCAATGTAATTTTTGTAACTTTTCTAGTATAGTAGTTTCTACTGATTTATTAATTGGTTCACTGATCCCGTTGATGTTAAATGTAACATGTGGGTGTGTGTTGAAGTTATATAATAACAACATTTTTTCTATTAACAGTTTGTTTTGTATTTCAGATTAAAAACATAAGATCAACATATTCACAAGAGGTAAAGAAAATTAACGATTCAATGAAATCTGGAGCTGGAGCAGATTCCATATACAAGCCGAGTGTAAAATGGTTCGACATACTACACGATGTGTTACGAAGCGTAAACCTAGAAAATAGAAAGACGCAGAGTAATATGGTATGATTTTTTTTCTTACATAAAAATTAATATATCATTCGTGCCTGCCAGGAGACAAATCCTTCGCCCATAAAATAGTCAAACTTTTCTCTGATCTGACGTGCATTTTGCGACGAATGGTTGTACATTTGTCTAAGTATTGGCACAAGTCCCTCTGAAGGTAACTGTCTCCAGCTCCCTTCTACAAAATGTTCGTTCTCAGTGTCTTTAAAGTCCATTGTATGTTCTAATATCGAACTTTTGATGATTCTGAGCCAGTTGTGTAAAGCACAACAAGCTTTTACAATTTTATCAACAGTGTTTGGGCAATAAGGCAGTGGTTTTCCGAATATTTGAAATCTACTAACTAATATCCCGAAAGCGTTTTCAACAATACGTCTAGCACGAGACAACTGGTAATTATTTTTTTTTTCTCTTTGTGTTAAATTTTGTCCTCCGAATGGCTTTATCAAATAAGGCTTCAGAGGGAAGGCAGCATCTCCGACTATAACATGATGTTCTGGTAGCAAGCCATTTTCCAAAACATCACTCAAGTTGCAGTTTGGGAAAACTCCTCCATCGGATATTCTACCATTGCACCCGATATCGATATATGAAAAACAATAGTTGTCATCTACCAAAGCCTAATAATACAAGGCTATTCTGTTGCTTGTAATTATAGAAATAGCTTCCTGCTTCAAATGGCTTTAATGACGACGTGCTTGCCCTCAATTGCTCCACAACACCCAGGAAAGTTCCAAGATTTTCTAAAGCCATTTGCAATTGCCTCCCACTCTTCAGAGTTTCTTGGTACCTGAAAGAAAAAAAGAATATTTGTATTATTTTAACTAGCTGCCGAAAATATTTCACTGACTTAAGTCTATTATTTTTATTTCAGAATACCATTGAGGATAAAGAAGACATGGAGGAGAATCAAGATGCTTGAAATTATGAGCTTGTTAGTATTGATGATAGGCCAGTTTCTGATCTAACCTGCCCTTCAAGAAAAAGAAATATGAGAGTTCTGAATTCACTTCTAGACAAAGCAAGAGTAGTGGTAAGCGAGCTCAACACAGAATCAATGATCGAAAAAGAAGGCACAAACGAATTCGAATTGTTTGGCAAAAGTTTTCGCGTCCAACTAAATTCCATGAGTTTAGAAAATGCTTTGCGGGCGCAAAGCGTGATACAAACCTATCTTACAAAAGTATCGTACTTTTTGCAGGAATTAAAAACCTGCAATCACACTTTTGTTGTTCCTACACCATCTCCAGGTTATGTGCCTACACCATCTCCGAGTTATGTGCGTACACCATCTCCGAGTTATCTGTCTACACCATCTCCGAGTTATGTGTCTACACAAACCACTTATGAGCATACGTCTACTCAAGAAACTCCTACAGATAGTGAACAATCATCTATGTCTGAAATACCTCACTCTGAGTTTATTGTGACATATACTCCTAATGCTTCATCTGATACAGCACATTTCAGCCACGACGCTGCAATAAATCTTGATAGGGGTGATTTGCTTGACCTAAGTGACCAACAAACTGCAGCTCAACAAAATAATGATATCTTATCACAGGCTATGGCAAATATTCCTATGTAGACATCGAACAAAATTACTAATCAATGTAATTTTGTTCAACGTCTACATAGGAATATTATGTGATTTAATATAACTACACGATGTTTTATTTGCTCACCTGTATAAATTCCTCCAAAGCATTGTAGATGGCATCACAAATTACAGGAATCATTAACGAAAGGCTAGATTTAGATATTCTGAAAAAATGAGATAGGCTCCTAAAATTATTTCCTGTTGCAAGCATATAAATAATTGCTTGGAGTTTTATTTTGGCCGGTATTGCACTCCTCATGTGAGTATCATTTTTTCTATAGCAATAATAATAGAGCGTATATGCCGACGTCGTTGCGCGTTCATTGTGGCGCAGTAATGATACTCTACTGGAAGAAATGTAAACGTTCACTCGCAACGCACTAAAGCACTAAAGAACTTGCCTTTCAAGTTGTACTAAAATACTCTCCTAAACACTAAGATAATGTAAATCGGCCTTTAGAAATACTTTTGTAGCAACCAGGCTAATCAACCCTAAACCGTTATAAATAATGTTACCCTGCTGATACTATAACGCAAAAGGTGAAGGTCTAAAGAAAACATTTATTTCCTAATTACCCCGGCTACTGAGATACTGCGGGCTGCATATCGATGCGAGATAATTTGACGTATATATTTTAACGTTCTAATATAGAAACAAGAAACAGCCGCAAATATCATCAGCACCGCATCGTCTTCACACGCCGGCTATCTTCACGCATCCTTCGACCATTTTCGAGTCGTTTCTTCAACGCCGCAGCTTTGCTTCTTCTTGCTGTTCCGGAGATGTGTCACACGCCGCCGCCGCTCGCCGATTACGCGCGCGCGCCGGTCTGCATCACTTTTATAACTCCGTCCAGCAACGCAGCTACGAGAAGCGATCCACGAGTCTAACGCCGGCAAATAGAGCGCGACACGCAATAGTTGTACATAATATTTTTATTAATCTTTATTGGTCAAAATGTATGTATTGTAATTGGCTAAGTAAATAAAATATTTTACTATTGGTAAACTAAGGACGTAGCCGGACATATAAATATAGGCAGGGTTAGCTTAATAAAATATACACCATATACTCCATTCGTCTACACATTAAAAAAATAGTTTTATTTCTCCGCTCCTAGACCACTCGGAGTCTGTTAATAGTGGACACAATACACCACTATTACATTGGTGACCCCGTTACGAACACCGAGAAGGAAAATCCCTGCAAGAATAGTAGGAAAAATAAATATCAAGGAAGACTTCAGAATATAAAATCAGTGTAATCAAGACGTCATTATGGAGCGAGAAGTGAAAAATCATACGCATCAGTGTAGTGACGGCCAAGATATACAGCAATGGATAAAAGAACGCACGGAGCAAACGTGGAGCAGACTAAAGTGAGTGATAGACGGGCGAGCAAGTACGCGTACTTATGGCTCGACGACCTTTTTCGCTCGTGTGTCACCGTAAGCACGCGTACTTTAAAACCGCCGAGTAAGTTCGTCGGCGAACCAACCGGTTTAAAATCTTACTCGTAGCTCGTCTTGGCTCGTACGTGTGGCAGCACTGCGAGCCGCGAGCCGCCATTTTGTTTCGCCAGTCCGTGGACGCGCACGCTTGTTTAAATTGCAATTTTTGTTAATTTTGATTCAGAAATTTCTCAAAATGTGTGATTTTCGAACTTATTCGCATGAACTGCTAACCGAATTTATAGAAGCTTTCCGAAATAACCCTTGTCTTTGGAAAATTAGAAGCAACAACTACAAAGACAAAAATTTGAAGCTTCAAGCATACAATAATTTATTAGAAATTATACGGAAGGTAGAAAGAGATTAGAATTTAAAATTACATACCTATGGATACACTGTACACGGGCTGTGCCTATTAACTCAGCAGAAAGAGATATTATTTTGCAGTGGATACCATCACACCAGGTACTTACTTTACTTTAACAACCTGTAAATGATCCCCTGCCTGAAATAGGCCTGACCTAGAGGAGTTGCCACAATCAATTTGGCACACAGATTGATGTTTGTAGTACCATACATCTTGCACTCCACACAATTTGGCTGTTCATCACCAGGTCATCTTTAATTTTATAGCCTATCAAGTCTACTGCTGAACATAGACCTCCCCTATAGATTGCCTTATAGGGGGGATATTTGATAACCACAGTTCTTTATCTTTAGTTGTTATTAGATAGATGCAACTTGTTCTTACTTTACACCCGTTTGTATGCCTTTGTACTTACTTGTATAAGTAATATTTTTTACATTAAATGAAATTAGTGTAAATAAAATCTCAAAGAACTTGTGCTTAGTCAAATAATGTTATAATTCGAAAATAACCACTTCTTCACTTTACCTGTCTGATTAGATGTATTTTTATTTCTTTTTACCTTAGTGGAATCTGGTTTACCACAAAAGTATTATGAAGGGAAACGAATGCATGCTATTATAAATAATTTTAAAAGCCATTAAGACAATTTAGTTGAAATAAATAAAATATTAATAAATATTATTATTAAATAAGGTGTACACTGTAAAACTATAGTCCGTTCGGTTAGCTGATGACGGTTAGTTAATGAAAAAAAAACACTTTTTTCAGGTGGATTGTTTAGGACGAGTCTGCAATCCTTGTTGACTGAGAACTGCCAGAACTATACAGAGACAGAGACAACAAAATGATGACAGTGATATGGAATTACAATGCATGAATATTGAAGATGATGGTAACATCCCACAACCACCCCCTATGCCTGCAACTGTAGCTAGTATCAACAATTACTATGGCTAATTATAAGCGTGCTGCTTCTACTTCCCGTCACTGTATTTTTAGTTATGTAATCATTCATCTAGATTCTTAATACCTAAACTACTAAAAGAGAGATTACTGATTGATCACTCATTTTATGTGCCACTGTGTGCTCGTATTTGTAAATACCACTTAAATAAACCTCACAATAATTGCAGTAATTTATACACAAGTACTGTTCAGATTTTATTGCAACTCAAATAGACAACCTATGTTCACTACTTAAAAGTAGTGTTACTCAGAATTATAATATTTTAAATATCATTGAACATAATTCAACGTTATGCAAGTATTATTTAGGATTTACTAAATACCAATTTGAACAATTACTAGTTGGAATTCCATCTATCTGTGAAAGGGTTAAATCACCTAAAAGAAGTCTAGCTATGTTCTTAATGAAACTTCGTACAGGTGATAGCAATGAACGAATAGCTTACTTCTCTTTTTAATGTAGCTTTATCAAATATTTTCAAACACTTAAATATTATACGTCAGTGCTTTGTAGAGCAATTCATCCAACTGCATTTAGGGACAAATACCTTATGCATTCAGCAAGTTGCTCAATTTAATTTGACAATACCAAATGGTTTATTTGGTAATCCAGACA